ATTTACTACACCTACATAGTTATGCTTTCCCGAGACATACATGTAATATAATGCATTACAAGTGTTGTCATCCGAGACAAAATCGATTAGTATGCAATATTTTTTCTTACATAGCATTTATTAAATATCTTGTTCATGTTATTGTTGTTAATGAATACTATTTTTTTATGTTTTTATTAGATGTATTATTTAATATAGGATGCTGGGAGAGTAGTAGTTGCATTTTATAAAGGAGTCGATAAGATGATATCACGACTAACATTACACTCAATTTATATCATGATGAACTTGAAAAAGTTGAGAAGGTTAAGCATCTTAAAGCAGCCTTAGTAGGTGTTAAGGTTGCTTTTCATGAACGAGGACATGTATTTAGGAAGGAAGGTTCATCCACGAGCACTCCAAACTCATCTATAATTTATGGTAATTTTGATATTAACCTCTTCACAAATGCTATAGGTCTATCCTTGATTTGGACGAGTTAGGGTGGTGCAGACTTGTCCATGAGCATGACAAGTCTTTTCGTGAGCTAAAAAGCTTTTTAAATATAGTTATATTATATGTTTTAATGTTACAAAAATTACAAATTTAGTTTAAATTTAATAAAATATTATGTGAATTTTTATTATATTAATTATGAATTGTTAATTGTTAATTTTAATGAATTGTAAATTGAGGAGTGTGCTGATTTTTTATTTGGGTTGAGTGTTGAATTGTAAAATTTGTTTTCTACTCAAAATTGTGAATTGTTGTTTGTATTAATTTTTTTTTTTTTGGTAAAAGAGAGTTGAGAGGCCGGAAAAACTATTAAGGAGATATTTTTTTGGTTGAGTTGCATGTGATGCATCCAACTATTATTAATATTTTTTTTGTAATTTTTTTAAACTGTGCTAAATAAAAGGAAAAAAACAAAAGGCACTCCTGTAAACAAGCCTGCAACAAGTACAATATAGCACCAGAAGCTGGGCTGGATAGTAGCAAGGAAAAAAAAACAAAAGGCACTCCTGTAAACAAGCCTGCAACAAGTACAATATAGCACCAGAAGCTGGGCTGGATAGTAGCAGATGATAGTAAACATATCGTTTGTCCGATTGATGTCGGCATTTGCCTGAATCCACGAAGAAATCGAGATCTGAGCGGAGAGCCCTACCACACTGGAAATTGCGAAATAACCACGGTATGAAGACATGTCTTTATACAACAGGTCAGCATGCAAAACCCAAAAGACAAAGGCTGCTCCTATTTATAAAGCCCAGGAGCTAGTAGGTTTCTAAATGAACTATATATATATATATAAGTACATCTATTATATTTAATATAAGAGAATATATTTATATAAATGTTGATATTAGATTTTAAATTTAAAAAACTAATAAAAATCGAACTTACAAATTTAATACAGAATGCGGTATAGATAATTTTACAAAAAAAATTAAAATTTTTTTTAATATTAACATAAAAAATCATATAAAACTTAAAAAAAACATTAAATTAATATTTTTATGCTCTTAATGTATTTTACAAAATACTTTTGAATACAACAAAAACTGTAATATCTAATAGTGACTAAATGGAGCACCTTACGAGCTCTCTATACTTGTTTGGAAATCACCTAATTAGTTGTGTTAGTTAGGGATGGCAATGGTTTCCAATGGGTTAGATTTCTTGATATTTTTACTGTTATTATTATTTATTGGGTAAAAAATTAGATAATGTAAATTATACATCAAGTTTCAAGCATGTAAAAACTACATATTATCTATTATTATTTATTAATTAATAAAGAATAAGATAATAGATAATAGATACTTGAAGTATATATAAGTATATTAAATAATAAAATAATAAATATTATTCTTATGTACATGTTTTATTTCAAAATTAAGATATGTGCATATATCATATTATATTAAAAAATCTAAATATTTTATTAATATATTTATATAATATAAGCATATATTTCAGGTTAGGTTATGCCAAGTTTCAAGTAGTGTTTAATGTTATTTATACCCATTAGATCCAAGAAATGCATAATTTTAGTTATAGTTGTGGAATTTAAATATTTAATAATACTTTAAAAATTAATATCATATACTTTCATAGATTATTTTTAAAAAATATAATTTATAATTTTTATAAATAATAATTATAGCTAAATGAAACTGTTTTTGCACTTCTTTATGTGCTGTATATTTGGGATTGGGGTCCAAATAGATATTAGTTAAATTTTAATTTTTTAAAAAAATTAATTTTATATATTTTTAAACTATTTTAATATACTAGTATTAAAAATAAATTTTTAAATATGAATAAAAAAAACACATTAAAAAACTTCATCTAATGCAATCCCAAACTCTCCGATAATGCCTCGGCATTTCATCTACACAAATGACAATACTCGGAAATAATTCTCCATTGGTAGTGGAAGCCATGATACAGCATGTGACCAAGCAGTAACAGGGGCAAGAAAGAGGCAAGGAGAATCTCTGCTGCTAGCTGTATCATGCTTGCTGACGTGGGAAACAAAGGCCGACATACCAGGTGGTCCACCTCATGCTGACACGGTTACCCCTTATTTTGTTGGCCTCTACTTTTTCGATTATAAAAACTTTTTAATTCTTTCAATATTCCAAAATCGTTTAAAACATTTTGCTATCTTTTTTATTTATTTCTACTCCCTTCCAAAATGTTTTAAACAATTTATATTTAAATTTACCGGTGCTGGCAGTAAAATTAGATTGTCGGCATTCTAAACAATTTAGGGCCAAACTTTTATTCGAAACTAAAATGTATTGAAAAAAATTATTTACACATTATTAATAAGTGTATTTGATATCAATTTAAAAATAAAATCCATTCACATTTTCAGGTTAAAAATAAAAATAAAATTATTTTATCCATGCATAATTATAGATTTATTGAATATTTTGTTAGCATATTATTCCTTAAAACATGTTTATTTAACTTTAATATCTAGTTATATAATAAAATATGACTTATTATTATCATCGTGATTAGAGTAATTATATACTTTGTATCCAGACTTTAAAAGTTATACATTAATATGCATGAATATTTTTATTTAAAATTTAATGTCTATTCATGAAAAGAAAGATGACTCAATATTAATGTGGTTAGAGTAGTCATTGTTCTTTAACTTTGAATATGAGTGCAATACATATTTGTGATCAAAATAATTGATTTTAATTATTTAAGTTTGTGAATGATTTATAAATATATTTTTGGAATTTTAAATCTTTGAACTACTAATAATTTGGTATAATAAATGAATTTATTATAAGATTTATGTATTAGTATTTTGTAACATGCTTGTTTAAGTTAAGAAAATGAATTGTTATTTATCAAACGGGTGACACTCACCTCCAATTTATTTTAAAAAACAGAAACAAACCGGATTAAAAGCAAAATAATTTTCCGTTGACAAACCTTCAAGAAATGGTAAAATTCACTGAACAAACGAAAAGTGAGGGTGTGTTTATACTGAATCAGGATCCAATGTAACCACTGTGTTTTAATCTTATCCGAATATCCAAGCAGGACCTACCATTTACTTTTCACTGTTTATCCATCTATGGAATGGGAATTGGGAAGACTCTGTTGGTCGCGTCAGAAGTTGTGCCTGGAAAGTTAATTTTGAGCTCTTGGCGATAACTGATGTGCAGGTTAAATTTTAAGGAGCTGGATTGGTGATTAAATAGAGGTTTTTTATTTTCTTTTTATTTTTTTAAAATTGAAATTAATATTCAGGAAAATTTATTAAGTGTTTTCAAATATATAAAATCAATGTGAAGAATGTGACTTTATAGTTGTTTAAAAATATGGTTCACGAATATTTTTATGGCTGTAAAAGAGTGTTTTTTATTTGTAAATATATAAATAATATTATTCTAATTTTTTAAAAATTATTTTTGATATTAATCTATTAAAATTATCTAAAAACATAAAAAATATTAATTTAAAACAAATAAAAAAATTAAATCATTTTAAAAATATTTTTTAAAGGCAAAACACTCATAAAAATAAAAATTTATCAATTGAGTCCAGTACACATGTGAACAACATATGTTTAGCTGTTTGTGCCCCAAACAAAACCCACATGAACAACATATGTTTAGCTGTTCGTGCCCCAAACAAAACTGAAACGAGACCCACATGCTAACATCCATTTTACTGCGTCTTTTTATTAGACTAACCAAGAACGTCTTCACACTGTCAACACAAATAAAGTGGATTTTGATCGAATTATTTGCGCAAAACAGGGTGTTTGTGAGTACAGTAATTTCATTTTTTATTGGATTTCCATGGAACCATCTCATAAAGCAATGATTTTCATAATGATGGACGCAGGACTCGATGGACAGCAACATCCTCAATATGCACGGTGGTGGAGTCATAATCTTTTGTTTCTCTTCCGAAACAAGGGATTCCACGCACGGTTATTTTCAATTATGCAGTTCACTCGTGAATCAATGATCGCTTGGCCGCATCGAAGACCACACACTGTCACAAGCCGCTCGCTGTTACATAACTTGAGACAAATGCAAGAGGACCATCTGCATGTCTTCTTGCATCACAACAGACATCTGTTCTTCAAAATTCTTGATTTTATTTTTTTAATTCCATATTTTTAATGTATTTTTCATTGCCGTTTGAGACCAATGCAAGAGGACCATCTGCATGTCTTCTTGCATCACAACAGACATCTGTTCTTCAAAATTCTTGATTTTATTTTAATAATTCCATATTTTTAATGTATTTTTCATTGCCGTTTGAGACATATGCAATAGGACCATCTGCATGTCTTCTTGCATCACAACAGACATCTGTTCTTCAAAATTCTTGATTTTATTTTAATAATTCCATATTTTTAATGTATTTTTCATTGCCGTGCTCTAGTGGTGGTGTTCAAGCTGGTAGCTGGTACGATAGATTATCTTTCCCTTTCATGGAGGGAAGAAGAGAGTTAAAAAGCAAACCATGGATGAGATTGTCAAATGAACAGTAAGCATATGATGAAAAAGTGGGTAGGAACATGATGGCCTATAATTACAGACAACCCACCTTGTCAAACTAATTGTCTAACAACTCCCAACTACTCCAAAATTACAATAAGCAGCTACAAATTACTATAAAAAAAAAAAAAAAAAAATGCTGTGTCTGAGTCCCTTGATTTCACCTAGTCTTGAGTGGGAAGCCAACCCCCTCTTCCCTTGTGGGCATTTTTATATTCAATATCCCGTTGGAAACTCGCACTCTCCAAACTCTGCAAAGACGAAAACATCCTCCATATTAGTATACAGTATAGTAGAGCAAAGGTCACAATTTTATACGCTCAGAACTCGAATGGCATAAGGTCACCTCTCCTCTAGACAAATTTTACCGTCAATAGCCTATTAATTACCCTGGTTGATGGAAAAAAGACCACTTAATGCCGCCTCGGTAACAAACACCGACCCTCCACGGTTAAAAACAAAGCTTCAATTATTGACTAAAGATTTACTCAGGTCAGAAATGGGGTCCATGGTCTATCTCAGTCACGTGGTTTCTCTTTTTTTTTGCCCTCTCTCTGACCTGGCTAGCACCAATAGTCCATCCTTTGTGGACCAGCACTACATTAACTTACACACGACCCCAGCAGACCCTACCCCCTCACCTCCCCTCCCCACGCTGGAGCATGTTGGAGCGTGTTATCAAGTTTGGGCACAAAATTAGGCCTATCATATGCGCAAGTTAGCAAGCAATAACGAAAATAAGCAAAATCTAGAAGAGAAGAGGCTAAAATACGCACTGGGTTCTTGGGTGACAACAAACGCTGCGCCTCCGAAATAACAGTCCCCCATCCCACGTCCTTTCTTCTGATAATAACTGTTGAAAGCAAACGACGAGTGGGCCACCAGAGTGTTAGGATTGTAACACGTTGCTTCAGGCTGGATCGGACGGCAATCAGCACCTCCCTCACCACAAGCAAAGTCCAGGGCCGCCTGCAGCTTTTCTTTTCCCGCATCAGGATTCGCGACGCACCACGTGTTCCCTGTAGTGCTCTTGGAAACACCTCCACGAACAGGAGCAGAAACCGGTTGACCGCCGGAGACCGGAGAACGGCTAGGGGCCTTGTAATTCTTGAGCCCCTCCACAGTAAATGGGATATCATACACCTTCTGCTGGTCGGGGTAAAAAAGCCCATAATTTCTCTCCGATGTGGGCCCATCCTTCTCGTTTTCGTTGAAGAGAGCGAAGAGATATACGGTTAGATCTGCGTGTGGTTTTAAAGGTGTCCCACCACCAGTGAGAATCCTACGGACGAGATTGCCGTTGTAAGTAGCTGCATTTTCCACGCTAGCACCAACCTCATTCTCGTCGCCTTTGGAGGGCCACCCTGTCTCGGTGACAACCATTTTGACGTCGTCATACTTCAAAGCGGACAAAGCTGCAAAAACGGCGTCGATTTGGGCATCAAAGAGATTAAAGTATTTTAACCCGTTACCCGAATCCACAACACCCGGGTTTTCTCTAAACAAAGCGTAATCTAATGAAATGACATCAGAGTTGGACTCGTAGGCGAAAAACGGGTAGGCATTGACCATGAGGTAGGACCCAGTTTGACGGAGGAAATCCAACATGGGCTTGAAAACTGGTTGGATCAATTCTGGTCGGAATGATCCGGCAGAAGATGGGTAAGAGGATTGAAGAGCACTTAAAGCTATAGGAGAAGAGACTTTAATGGAAGAGTGGAGGTTAAAGTTGACCAAAGCTTGATGAATATTTTTCATGGCTGGAATGAGGAACTTGGTGGTGTTATGAGGGTCAACGAAAACTTCATTACCAACGGCAATGGCTTCGATTTGAGTAGAAGGGTGGTAAGCAACGATGTTTTTCTGTACCCAAGAGCGGGCAAAGTTAGGGTACTTAGCAGCAGAGTAGAGAAGTTGATTTGGTAAATCGACGGTAACTTTTATACCGGAACCAGACAGGGCTTTGAGCACAGCAGGGTCAGTGTCGTAAACCTTGACAAGCTCTAAACCTTGAGATTTAACGAGATTCACCACTTTGACAGCTGATGGCAAGTTGTTTGCTATTCTTCCATAGTTCACCCCGACTGATCCCGCATCTGCAAAACCAACAGCACATTGTCAAAAAAAAAGAACGACGAAACCAGCAAAATAGACACAGCATTAGTTACTCATACCTGCAAACGCAACAATGCAAACAAGTAAGAGAAAGCAGGGGAGGAAGTTAGCATCCATGCTCTTATTCTTAGGGAAGCAGAGCAAGCAAGAGAGAGTGAGTGTTGTAATAGAAATGGTACGTTGAGGAATTAGAGGGTTTGAAGGTGGAGTATAAAAAGAGAAGGAGAAGAGGGCGGGTGCGTTGAGCAGACCTAGATGGTGGGGTGGGTCCCAATTGACAAGAACAAGAGGCAGAGAATCGAGAGAGAGAGGAGGGAGAGAGAGGCAGGGGGGGGGCCAGAGAATCGAGAGAGAGAGGAGGGAGAGAGAGGCAGCCGCTGCACGCACCACGATCCAGGCTACACTACTGACTACACTACCCACGTGGCCCCACAACTCACGTGGGCCCACACAAAAACTCGACCGTTCTATTATCAACAGAAAAGCTAAAGAAAATAAAAAGATCGTGTCCGTTTAAGGCGGCTAAGGTTCATCGTTCACGATGAGGTCTTGACAAGAGGGTGAGGCTCATTGATGATGGTGGTGCCGTGCTGCACTGGAAGAGGGAACTCAAAAGGTACTGCTATGTTTTTTTTTTTGGTATAAAAAGATACTGCTATGTTTCTTTGCTTTTATGAACGTTGGGTTTGGGGGAAAAACAAAGCTGTGATTAACGGGAAAATCAAAAGAAATATGGTCAATAATAATGATGTAAACAGGAAATTGAGTAGGTCCGGTAATCAAAATTAAGTCAAATCCAAACAGTACTAAACAACGTTCGGTTTCTTCCTGCGGCCAGGTTAATTTTTTTTTATAGTGTAAATAACGATATTAAAACGCTGTTATTATATTTTAAAGAGTAAAAAAAATCAATGATAAAGAGAACTACAAAACATAATTGTCAAACTCTACAATTCAAACTTTAAAAGAATAGAATAAAAAAATATATATTAAAAAATAAAAAATTAGTAAAATTGTCAAACTACTAAATAATATTATGCAGAAAGAATAATCCAATAAAAATAAAAATATAAAAAAATAAAATTTAATTTTAAAAAGAATAAAATTTCATAAAATAAAATTTAAAGAAAAAAAGTAATTTTAAAAAGAACTTGAACTACCCGAATAAACCTCTTACCTAAACTATGAGATAGGGATAATCTAATTAAAAAGAAAATTGAATAAAATAACAAAGTTTATTTTTTAAAACAAATAACTTCAAATGATATAAATGGAAAAGAAAACAACATTAACCCGTTTAACTTTTTAAACTCGTAACCTTATATAATTACTAAATTGGAAGTACTACATTTGAAAAGTAACTATTTAAAAACATTGCTTGACCCAATGAATTGCCCGTGTCCCAAGTGACCCTTAGTTTAGACCGACCCAAGATTTTAAAAAAATAAAAAAGAATTGAACTAGTATAAAAATTGAAGAAGGAAGATTCAAAACCTTTTTACTAGGAATTCCAATGAGCCTTTATAGCTCATCCTCTCTTTTGTAAAAAACAATTCTCTCTAAGTTGATTAGGAAGAAGATATCCCTTACTTTATTAAAGGGAGAATATCTTTATATGCTTGAGCTTAGCGTTTGGTTGAGCTTTAAAGAGATAAATATGATAGATCACCAGATCCATATATGATTAGGTTCAGCACTTAGTTGTGCCCATATGAGCTAGGTGTGGCAGATTATCAGACCCATTAATGTCTGGGTTTAGTAAGAGTTGGGATATATATCGACTGAGCACTAATAGATCACCAAACCTATACATGATTAGGCTCAAACGTTTGGCTGAGCCTATGAGAGCTGGATTTAGCAGATCGCTAGACCCATATATATAGAGACTTAGCACTTGGTTGAACCCAAAGATATTGGGCTATCACCTAGTTTCTGGTTTCTCTAAATGAGAATACGAACTAAAAATAAAATATATTGATACATTAGTAGCCCCCAAGTCTTTGTGTATCTATTATGCAAATATTGATAAGGTTATTAATAGTAAATAATAGCCCTTTTTACTTTCTTTATAAGATTTTTCTGTCCCATAAAGGATTTTTGAGATTCCTCATAACTAGATGACTCATTTCTATTTTAAAAAGGTGTCTTTTGGGAAGCAAAATAACAGCATGTATTTAATACAGTAATTGAGTGGATTTTTAAAGATTTTAAATTGCATGAAAAAACACTTATCTAACTATAAAGTAGAAAGATGTTCCTTTATAACACTAGTTGTTCTTGTATTTGTCTTTTCTTTTACTTTTTGTAATTTTTAAAAAACCATTATGTTAAAGATCCTGAATTATTTTAGTTCTAATATAAGAGGACAAACTTATTAATAAAGTATTCTTCATCATCAACTTCTTTCCTTCCCTGTTTTATACCAAAATACAGGAAAAAAAAGTCAAAATTGTTTCTAACCTGATACTACCCTTGAAAAGGAGTTTAGGTTCCAACTTGAGGTTAAAAGAAGTGACAATGGGTAAGGGTCTATCAAATGAGGCCATATAACTAGAAGAAGTTACACCTCGGTATCGATATCTAGCTTAGGAAAAATAGCTCTCCTCATTAAAGTTCTTTTCCTGTTAGTGTCTTCCAAATTTGTTATCATTTGGTTGTTGGCACTAATTATGGCAATGATATGCGTTGATTTTTTTAACCTTTGCTTACATACCTATATGAGCCATAAAAAGAATTCTATGTGGAAAGCTTATACATGTCAAAAAATAAAGGTGAAGATGGCTAATACTGAGGTACAATAGGCCAATCAACCTTATAAGTAGAATACAACAAATCTGAAGTTGTTCTTATTACTGAAAAGTTCTCCTCTAATGTAAACATATAATTAGACGTGAAGAAAACATATGATTTTGTTGGCCTCAACTTCGACATAGTATGAAATCAATAAAATGGCTAAAAGATATTATTTAATTGTTTTGCAGAGTATACTATTTACTTATTATTTTTTCACTTTGTTGCCAAATTGATTAATGACTTGTTTTTCTTATGTGCAGGGCTAACAACAGAAAAAGATAGAGAAAATTCAGCAAGGTTTGCAGAAGAGAGTTCACCAAAGAAGTCTTCATCCTTATTGTGGTTGAAGGTATGGTAGGTAAAGTGATGAAGAATTACACTATCATTGTTGATAAACTTTTAGTTCCTAAGAAAACAATAATGGGAGTTAGAATTCCCATAAAAAATGAAGTTAAAGGTAGTTGTACTCCCTCAATCAAGGGTCAAATAGATTTCATTCCCTCTTAAGTGATCACAAGTGTTATAGTCCACTTTAAGAGATTACGGGTCTCCATCCCAGTAGAGCCTAGTGTTCCAACTTTGATTGTAGACATTTTTATGGTGGCATTTCTTCTACTTTAATTTCTAGATTTTTTGACAAAGGCTATAACAGCTAAGTCTTTTATTTAGGTTGTTCCTGAGGGAGTTGAGTTTAAGGATGTTTTAGCTGAGCTTAATAAGTCGAGCTCCTTTTAATTTCCTCATCATGACTAATGAGGAAAGGCAGCTTATGGAAGTTATTATTGGTAAAAGGTTACATAATCATCATTTGACTGTAACTGGTCAAATTAGGTTTAATGTAAGGAACTTTCACATTCATTTTTTATTTTGTTTTATGACTATTATTTCTAACGTTTGTTTCTTAATAGATATTTATAATGTGCGTCCATTCTAAAAGGCATTGGGTGGTTGAGAGGAATTATATAAAGGAGATTATTTTCACAAACAGGGCAAACTAATTTTCCTTTGAGCAATCAAAGAAGGAAAAAATTGTTGTAGAGGCTGAATTGAAAAGCCTCGGAGTGGCTTATTCAACCCTGATGGAACAAATACAAGACATTATTCTTTAATTGGGCTCCAATGACAAATTATTTCGCGTAGTCTATAACTAAATAGATTCCCTAAAATGAAAGATCCTTGAGTCATAGACCATCTCAGATAGTTTAAAAGCTAAGCTTTTTACTGTTAAGAAATAAGCTCATAATTTGTTTTACTCAATTGAATGCTTTAGGAAACTCTTCTAAAAAGTTTCAAGAATTTTTTAGAAGGTTTATGACTTTGATAAAAACTATTAGAGACAAGATATTTTTTACAATATTCAATTTACATTTCTTTAACCAATCAAAGGGAGTGTAGGTGGATTTTAGTGTCGCCTTCAATCTAATCTTAATGCCTGACATTGTTGTTGTATTCCGAACCGGGCCAATTGCTACCCAACATGGAGAATATCTAACTGAGAAACTTGAGCTAGATATTTAAGTCTTATTTCCCTCTTTCCCCTTATCAATATACGCAACCCTAATTTTAAGAGGTTTATTCATATGATATTTTTGTTTTATAACATTTTGATTCTTATTTATTTCTTCATTTACTAGTGTGTATAGATTTCATACCTATAATAAACATTCCAGCAAGGTTTAAGACCTTTAAAAAAGCTTTGAAATTTTATATTGGTCAAACGTCTACATATGTAAAAACTTTTATCAAATTTGAACTCATATAAGTCCAACACCTATATTAAAAATTATATGCAAGTCCATAAACTTTTATGAAATTATTACAACTTGTGTGGGTCCACTGCTCCTTTAAAAAAAACATTTATCAAATTTGAATTTTAAATTGTATAACTTGAATCAAGATTTAGAAGGGATCTACTTCTTGCCCGAAATCAAGAGAAAATCTTGGTTTCATGTATATTCTTGTCCACCTAGATGAATCTATAGTGGATTGTTAAAAAACCACTAAACAGAGGGTGGATTGATGTTGTTATCCTTTGGCAAAGCATCACTGTGGAGATAGGTTAGCCCATCCATTGAAGGTAGTGAGGTTGTTACGTTGGAGAGGTGTTGTGTCAATCTCATCCTTAGAGAATTGTTTCAACGCATTAGGGAGGCTTCAAATCCAACCATTCCAAGGTAATTTATGCAATCACTTTAGTAAAACTAACTCGATCTTTTCAAGGTGAATTATGCAATCGCAATAAGTAGATTGAGCCTATCTTATCCTTTGAAGTTTGTGAATTCATTGCTTTAGAGAGGTGTTGTATCAATCTCATTCTTGGAGAGTTATGTAATCGTACTAGGAAGGACTTAAATCCTTCCCTTCCAATGTAACTTATACATTCATATTAAAAAGTCCGAGTTGATCTCTTTTGAGGTAACTTATGTAATCATAATAGGGAGACTAAGTCTATCTCATTCTTGAAAAGTTATAAGGCCGGTACCCTAGAGAGGAATAAGACAAATCT